CAGGGCTTTTCCCCTCATCTCTGCAAAGCTTCGTGCAGAGCGGAGGAGCTCTGCTTTGCCTATTTCTGGTAAAGCCTTTACCTAAAGCTCGGAACTCTAACGTTTGGCTCTGTCATACTAGCCAAAAAGAGAGAGAGAGCGAGGGAAAAGGAGGCGGCGATGGTTGGGTGTTGGGGTTTGGGTCATCTCAGCTCCTGGGACGGGGCTTAGTCGGACGAGACGGGCAGCGGGAGGAAGAGGATCGCCTTCTGGCCGTAGTGAGTCCGCGGTCCCAGCTTGCTGCTCCCATTCTTCTTCAGACCAACGAACCAGTTCTTATCCGCGTGCTTTTTGGAGACGTACGTGTTGTAATGGTTTTCTTCCAGCCTTTCAAGAAACAGGCACTCCTCACCCAGTAACTGCTGAAAGAGAGCCCGGGTAATGGCAGTGAGACGGGGCGATACCGTAGGGAGTAGGATGCGCGCTCCTAACGCAGCAATCCTGGCTCGGACGCTCCAAGGCTGGGATGCTATCCAGCCCCGCCTCTGAGATATTCGTGCCCCAGTAAAGCTCATATTTAAAGCGCGGAGGTAAGTAGCCTTGATTTTGACCCCTGGGCTGCTCCTACGGTAACTTGTCCGTGACCTGGGCATTTTATTTGGCAGTGACCGAGCCCGGCCCCGTGCTCTGTAAGCCGGTCCTGGCGCTGGCTCCTGCTCTGGCACGGAGCTGTGCGGAGGCAGCTGCGGGTTGAGGGCATGAGCGCGAGGAGCAAAACAGCTCTTTGGTGAGGCTAAGCAGCCTGTGACCGGGATTATGTGTCGCATGCTTTGCTATAAATCATAGAATCATAGAATCATAGAATGCTTTGGGTTGGAAGGGACCTTGAGAGATCATCGAGCCCAACCCCCCTGCAGTAAGCAGGGAATGAACCTGTGAACTTGGCGTTATTAGTGCCGTGTTCTAACCAACTGAGCTAAATGGGACTAGTGTCAAAGAACCAGATTATTTTTGGTGATTCCAGGCCCTACAGTTCCTGGGCACAGGGGGGTAAGCTCCTGCCTTGCACGATGCTGCTCACACCAGGATGTCACGCGTGCCGTCGCTGCCTCCGGCACAGGGCTCGGTGCGACCAGGATACAGAGGAAAAACGCGGGGAGGTCTTTGCTCGGTCTCGCAGCCCTCCTAGCAGCC